TCCAGTGATTAAGGCTAGGTAAGAAATGAGGCAAAGAATGACCTCCTTCACCTAGAGGGTACCTAGGAGGGGGCACTGTCCTAAACATCAGGTACCTTTTACCTAGTCCAGAAAAAAAAAAATCAATCTGGGAAGCGAAGACTCTCAGGGTTTCTGGCTGAAAGAGAAATAACTGTTATTTACACTCATTCTGAGCCATCAGGGCCAAACAACGACCAAGTGAGGCTTGGGCTGGGACCTATTATTGGCCATTCAATGACAGCCAGAGAGATTTGGGCTTAAGGCATAGTTCTTAAGAAAGAAATCTAGCCCATAAGCCCTAAGATATCTTGCTAGGTTTCAGCAACCAAAATTTATATTCCTTTGGGCAAAGCACCCACAGGTAAGGATATGATACCCTATGTGGACAGTGGGAGAGGATGGAGGGAAAAAAGGAGGGGGGTAGGGAAGGAAGGAAAGAGCTACATTGCCCAAATGGTACTGACCAGTTGGGTTCGAGGTGGGGTAGCTACTACTACTTGCTGTTTGTTTGTTCTTCATTCTCAAAGAAGACCATGACTTGCAAGTGAATCCGATTTAAGTGAGGGAGGACTGTGAAAAGTCACAAACACAAAAGTCCAATGAAGAGAAGAATGCCTTGAAAAGAAGAACTGGCCTAATGGAAAAGGAGGCACAAAAGCTCACTGAAGAAAATAATTCCTTAAAAGCAAAAATTGGGCAGGTGAAAGCTAATGACTTTATGAGAAATCAAGAAACAACCATATAAAATCAAAAGAATGAAAAAAATAGAAGAAAACGTGAAATATCTTATTAGAAAAAACAACTGACCTGGACAATAGACTCAGAAGAGATAATTTAAGAATTATTGGACTACCTGAAAGTCATGATCAAAAAAAGAGCCTAGATATCATCTTTCAAGAAATTATCAAGGAAAACTGTCCTGATATTCTAAAATCAGAAGGTAAAATTGAAATTGAAAGAATACACTGATCACCTCCTGAAAGAGATCCCAATGCAAAATGAAAACTCCCTGGAATATTATGCCAAATTCCAGACCTCCCAGATCAAGGAGAAAATACTGCAATCAGCCAAAAATAAACAATTTAAATATCACAGCCAGGATAACACAAGATTTAGCAGCTTCTACATTAAAGGATCAGAGCGCTTGAAACATGATATTCCAGAGGGCAAAAAAGCTAAGATAACAACCAAGAATCACCTACCCAGCAAAATTGAGGATAACTCTTCAAGGGAAAAATGGCCATTCCATGAAATAGAGGACTTTTAGGCATTCCTGATGAAAAGACCAGAGCTGAATAGAAAATTTGATTTTTAAATACAAGATGCAAAAGAAGCATAAAAAAGTAAACAGCAAAGAGAAATCGTAAGAGATTTGATAAGTTTAAACTGTGTATATTCCTACACGAGAAAATGATATGTATAACTCCTAAAATTTTTCTCACTAATAGGGCAGTCTGAAGGAGTATACATAGACAGAAAACAGAGGTCTTAGTTGAATGTGATGGTATGATTATCTAAAAAAATAAAATTAAGGGATGAGAAAGAAGAATGCACTGGGAGAAGGTGAAGTGGAAAGGTAGAATGGGACAAATTATCTGACATAAAAGAGGGCTGAAAAAGATTTCACAGGAGAGGGGAAAATGGGGGAATTGGAAAGGGGAGCACATGAACCTTATTCTCATTAGAACTGGATCAAAGAGGGAATAATATACAGACTCAATTGGGTATAGAAATCCATCTTACCATACAGGAAAGTAGGAAGGGAAGGGGATAAGAAAAGGGAGAGCTGACAGGAGGGAGGGTAGTTTGGGGGAGGTAAATGTCAGAAGCAAAACATTTTTGAGAATGGCCAGGGTAAAAGTAGAGACAGAGTAGGATAAACAGGGGGGAAATGGAGGGAAATACATGGTTGGTAATCATTACCGTGAAAAAAAAATTTTTGTAGTGAGTTTCTCTGATAAAGACTTCATTTCTCAAACATATAAAACCTGAATCAAATTTATAGAAATAAGAGCCATTTCTCAACTGATAAGTGGTCAAGGATATGAACAGGCAGTTTTCAGACAAAGTAATCAAAGCTATCTATAGTCATTAAAAAATGCTCTAAATCACTATTAATGAGAGAAATGCAAATTAAAGCAACTCTGAGCTATTAACTCACACCTGTCAGATTGGCTAATATGACAAAAAAGGAAAATGACAAATGTTGGAGAGGATGTGGGAAGATTAAAACACTAACGTAGCATTGGTAAAATTGATTCAACCATTTTGGAGAGCAATTGGAACTGCCCAAGGGCTATAAAACCATGCATACATACCCTTTGACCAAGTAATACCACTACTAGGTCTATATCCCAAAGACATAAAAAACAAAAAGGAAAAAGATCCAGATGTACAAAAATATTTATAGCAGCTCTTTTAGTGGTGGCAAAGAATTGGAGATTTAGGGAATGTTCATCAACTGGGGAATGGTTGAACAAGTTGTTGTATATGATTGCAATGGAATATTATTGTGCTTTAAGAAACGATGAGCAGGATGCTCTCAGAAAAACATGAAAGCCTTACATGAATTGATGCAAAGTGAAATGAACAGAAATAGGAGAACATTGACACAGTAATAGCAACATCACATGACAATCTACCATCTACATAGCTATTCTGAGCAATACAATGATCCAAGACAATTCTGTAGTACTTATGATGAAAGGTGCTGTCCATCTCCAGAGAAAGAACTGGTAGAGCCTGAACGTAGACCAAAGATACTTTTTCTTTACTTTCTTTATTTCTCTCGGGGTTTTTTTGGTGTGTGTTTTCTTTCACAAAATGAGTTACAGAAAAATGTGTTTTGCATGACTACACATGTATAACGCATGTCAAATTGCTTGTCTTCTCAATGGGGGAGAGGGAAGGAGAGAATTTAGAACTCAAATTTTGAAAAAAAAATGTTAAAATTGTTTTTACATATAATTGGGAAAAATATTAAATAAAGGATGAGTTGGAATTTAATAAGTAAAGAAAGAAAAGGAAACATTTTCTGACCTAGGAAACAACCGTGGGGAGGTACAGGGTGTATTGTGGGGGCTGAGTAGTTCAATGTGCACGAACCAGAGTGCAAAACCACCGTAAATCAGTCCTTTTACTTCTGTCTAACCAATTCTGTATCAGTGAGGATTTCCCAAGCCTACTTTTTATTCAAGCCTCCCCCACCATCCCTTTCTCAACTGTTATATCTAAGAATCTTGCATCATACTTTACTGAGAAAAAAAGAAATCGTGCACTATGAGCTTCCTCTTTTCAGCTTTTTGTATCACTACACCTTGAAATCATGTGTTATTGTTTCTCTACTCTGTTGAAAAGGTGGCCAACCCCTCCTGATATCATCCCTTGCCTTATTCTTAAACACACTGCTCTCTGTAGCATCCCTTCTCTATCCAATCTTCAACCTGTTTTTTTGAGATTCTATTCCTTATATCTATAAACATTCATGAGACTCTAACATTCTCTCAAATCAATATCCTTTGTCCTTGGCTTTTAGTCTCATGTGATATAATAAGCCTGTAACTGAGAAAGGGTAATTAGTTTCATAATGTGTGCAACTTATTACATACTTCAAAAGGAATAATAGCTAACATTTATACAGCTCCAGGTGCTTTACAGAAATTGTCTCTGATCCTCAGTGACAACACTGGGAGGCATGGGCTATTATTATTCTCATTTTACAGTAAAGGAAACTGAGGCAAACAGAGGTTAAGTGATTTATCCAGGATCACACAACTGTTAAGTGCCTGAGGCTGGATTGGAACGACAAGTCTTCCTGATTCTGGCATTCTCACCACTATGGGCCACCTACTCAACTCATATTTTAAGTCAAAATATGTACAATCAACGCCCCTCTGCTCCCCTTCATACAAAATAAACTGGTCCTACTATGTCATCCTGGCATAGTAGAAAGAGCACTGACTTGGGAGTCAGGCACCTGAGGTTCAAATGTCAACCGATGTTTACTCCCATGTGTGACTCTGGGGTCACTTAACCTGCCAGAGCTGCAGTTTCCTTAACTGTAAAACTAGTTGTTTTCAGTCAATTAAGAGAACACTGATGATAAGGAGGAAACTGAGGCTCAAGTGACTCGCCCATGGACACAAGGCTTTTGTCATAGTTCAGTTTTGTCTGACTCTTCCTGATCCCATTTGGCAAAGAGTGGTTTGCACTTTCCTTCTCCAGCCCATTTTACAGATGAGGAACTGAGGCAAACAGGGTTAAGTAACTTGCCCAGGTCACACAGCTAATAAGTATCTGAGGTCAGATCTGAGCCCAGGAAAATGAGTGCACCAGACTCCAGGCAGGGCACTTTATCCACTTCACCACCTAGCTGCCCTTAAAATAATAATTAAACAGACACACACAAATACTAATAGAAATTCAAAGATTAGACAATCAATCAATAAATATTTATTCAGTGCCTACCATGTCCCAGGTTAAGTGCTGGGACAAAAACTCCAGCTTTGGCTCAAGAACAAAGTGTCCTTTAAAACAACGACAAAAAAACTAACAAAAAACACCCAATAAAACAATTTTTCAATAGCACAATAAAACCAGATTCACAGATAAATCCAGCAGCCCACTCAGCCAAAGCCCCAGCCGTCACAAGGGTGACAGGCAGGAAGGCAATCCGATACCACAACAAACACTATTAGTTTTGCGCGTCCACTGATGCTCATTTGAAAGCCAGATCAGTTTCGGATGGCAGACGCAGCAGAGGCACCCGAGCAAGTGTAGACGGTTAAACACCCCGGGGGTTTTCCGGGGCCCAACATCAAGACGCATAAGATCAAATGCACACGTCAACACTCGTCTGTTCCCCGGACTCCGCCGGGCTCCAGCACAGAAGAAGGGGGGGCTCCAGTCACCTTCCTCTCCAGCCCCACCTAAGGACACGAACCTGCGGGGGGCGGGGGGGGGAATCTCGCGCGTCCTACCTGCATCTCACCACCACCTGGATGTTCTTTCCTTTCTCATCCTTCTTCTTGCCAACAGAACTCGGCTGGAAAGCCATGGCGAGCCTCGCTGAGAAACCTAAAACCAGGCCGAGAAAAGGCAAGGGCGGGTCAGGGACGAACCTCGAGGCGCGTCCGACTGCTCCGCTCGGCCCGGGCCAGTCCGGGGAGGGGTGGGGTGGGGAGGGGAGAGGCCGGCAGCGCCCGACACCCCCACACAACCATCCCGCGACCGGCCAGGCCGAGGAGACTGCCACCCACCCAAGACCAGAGCAGGGCTCTCACCTCGCTCAGGGTCCCCGGGCTCCGCGCAGCCGCTCGTTAACGCCGCTCCGGACCAGCTTCCTCTTCCCCGGAGCAGAATAAACGTTCACGCGCCACGATTTGAATCTTGGATGTGGGATTTCTCCGGACCAATCACGAGGGCCCCGCGCTCAATGCGCCATGGGAAACTGATTTAAATTAAAGGGACCGACCCAGGTTACAGACCGCAGCCGTGAAGACAAACGGGTGTAGGAGAGGAACTTTTTTTTAAGGCAATGTAAGCCAATTGCATCGTTGTGCTTTGCGATGCTTACTGTGAGAGACTCCTGGAAGCGAAGAGAAACCCAAGTGAGCCAGACCTCCCCCCCAGGCTCCAAGCATTTTTCTCTTTTTACTACAAGCCCCAGGGATCAGTGCGGCAACTAGCGGGAAGTTGAGCAATTCCTGAGTCTTTCTCCCCCTGCCTACAGACACCGGCCTGCACTGCGCGCCCCCGGATTTCCGCTTCCTTTGTCTCGTCTTCCGGATCCTGGGGCTGCTGTTTTGGATTTATGGTGTGGGCAGTCCCAAAGCCAAGGATGAGGTGGCTTATCTTGAAGCTGCGGGGCGGCGCTTGGTTGCTGGACTTGGACCTCCTAATCGGAGGGCGTTCGTTTGCGCCGCGGATCTATTGTCTGTCCCCTTACAAATCCTCCGCAGAAGGTTCCAACAGACGTCTGGGCTTCCAGAAGAGAGAATCTCCTTACCCCGCCCCCCTTTTCTCAGCCTCATTAATGTAAAATTCCTGCCTGTCCGGCCAGTGCCTTCCTCCACTTGGCTGTAATTGCGGGAGAATCACTGTGGTGATCTATAGATCTGTGATCTATATCCAGCCTCAGTTTCTTCTCTGAGCTCAGTCCTGCATCACCAACTATCTAGTGGCTGTTTCCAACTGAAGGCCCAATGGGCGTCATCTCCCCCACCGCCCCGACTTGTTGTTTCTGATCCGGACCATCTTCCCGTCTCCCAGGTTTGCAACTTCAGGGTCCTTCTTGACGAATCCTCTCTTCAGCCTTCTTCTCCAATGAGTTAACAGAATACTCCTTGCCCCTCAATGCCACTTCTAGACCCTCTCTCTTTAACCATCTCTCAGCAACGTCTCTCCATTTGAGGTTCACTTTATCCAAGTTTTTCATCACATTGAAATTCTGATAGCTGTTACTTATCTGCTACACTTGCCCTCATTTCTTGGTGAGTCCAGTACCTATCTCACAGTCTACCTTTCCACCCCAAATTCTGCCTTTATTCCAGGGAATTGTATGTTGTAATGTTACCTCACACATACTAACATTCCAGTATTTCAGTCTTCTCAACTCCCCTCGACCTATTCCTCCGTTCTATCTTAAGAAAGGAATGGCCATAGGAATGATCTTGCTTATCACCCACTCGTTTCAATTCCATGATCAAGAATTCTGAAATCTCTCTGAGAGTAACCTTTTTCCTCCTAGACTTATCCCAACTCATGGCAACTCCTCAAACCCAAGATATACTCACCTCCCTCCCCTATATTTACCCCTTACTTAACCCATTCAACTCTACTTTATTCTCTACTCTGGAATTCCCTGTCCTGGAGATATTCCGGCCAAACCCCAACTTTGCAGTAATATCACTATTTTCCTCCTCTGCTTAAACTCTTGCTCTGGAATGAAGTTGGAGGAAGCAATGAAACTAGAATGAAAATAGAATAACAAATTTATGTTAACTAATCCTCAATAGACTCTCACTGCAGCAAGACAATCCTTTTATTTCTCTTTTGTTTTCTACCCACTCACTGTAGCAGATATTCCAGATCTCCTCTCCTCAAGACTACTGCAGAATTCCCTTTCTCCCACCTCCTCAGCTGAGGACCTTACCCATACAGTTACAAAGAAAAAAAAAATCAAGGCCATACAATTTGACTCTATTTTCCATCCTCTTTATCTTATAACCCCTTGACATCCCCCATTCTTTATGCCTCACTCCAGGCTCTATTGCAGAAGTGGTCCTTGCCAAGGCTAATCTGGCTAATACGTGTCCCTTGATCCCATCACCTCCCCATATTCTATAGCAGATTACCCCCACTATTATCTCTTTAATTTCCATTATCTCCCTATTAGTTTCTCTTTTTTTGTTTTGTTTTTTTCTTTCTAGTGGTTTTTCCTTTTTGTTTTGATTCTTCTTTCACAACATAACTGATGTGGAAATGTGTTTAACATGTACATGTATAATCTATATCAGATTGCTGTCTTGGGGAGGGGGTAGGGAAGGGAGGGAGGGAAAAAATTTGGAACTCAAAATTTTACAGAAATGAATATTGAAAACTATCTTTACATATATTTATAAAATACTATTAAGTGAGAAAAACATTTTTAAAAATTCTGTCTGTTAATTTCTTGGGGCAACTAGGTGGTAGATCAAGCACCCAGCCTAGAGTCAGGAAGACATGCATTCAAATGTGACCTCAGACACTTACTAGCTGTGTGAACTTGGGCAAGTCGCTTAATGCCTCAGTTTCCTCAAAATCTGTAAAATAAGGTAAAGAAGGAATTGGCAAACCACTCCAGTGTCTTTGTCAAGAAAACCCCAAATGGGGTCACAAAGAGACAGACACAACTGAACAACAACAAAAATTAGTTTCTTCCCTGCTGCCCACAGACATGCCCATATCTTCCTAAACCTTAAAGAAAACCCTCAATATATTCTACCATCCCTCCTAGCTATGATCCTGTCTCTTCTTTCTTTCTTAGCCAAAATATTTGAAAAATCTATCAGCATTCATTACCTTCTTTTCTCATCTATTCTAAACTGCAATCTGGTAGCCAACTTCATCACTCAACTAAAACTGCTTTCTTCAAAGTGGTCTCTTAATTGCCAAATCTGGTGATTTTTTTTTTCTCAGTACTCATCCTTCTCTACCTCCCTACAGCATTTAAGACAATTGACCACATTCTCCTCTTGAATGCTCTCTCATCTCTGGATTTTCATGATGGTTTACCTTCAGACTCCCAACATTTTAACTGGCTGTCCTCCATGCCTAGAATGTTCTCCCTCTTCATCTCTGAATCTTGTCTTCTCTTGCTTCTTTGAAGTCCCAGCTAAAATCCAGTTTCCTAAAGGAAGCCCTTCCCAATTCCTTTTTAGTGCCTACCCTCTGTTGATTATCTCCAGCATAATTGTTTGCATGTTGTCACCTCGATTAGACTGTGAACTCTTTGAGAATAGGGAATTTCTTTTACCTTTCTTTGTATCCCAGACACATAGTAGGTGCTTAATAAATGCTTATTGACTGACTGACTTCTCTTGGTTCCCCTCCTATTAGTCTAACCATTCCTTCTCCATTTCCTTGGCTGGATCTTTGTTCATGTTAGATCTTCAAGACTCTGCTGGACCTTTTCATTTCTCTTTATACTCTCTCACTTGGTGACTTAGCAGTTCCTGTGGGTTCAATTAAAATCTATGCAAATGACTCACATCTCTATGAACAGCCAGTCTCTTCCCTGAGCTCCAGTCCTACTTCACCAATTGCCTATTGGATATTTTGAACTGGCTGTCTGAGAAACATATCAAACTCAACAAGCCCCAAACTGAAATTATTATTTTTCCTCCCCAAACCATTTCTTTTTAAAACTTCCCTGTTTCTGTTGAGGGCTCCACCATCTGAAAAGTTACCCAGAATCATAATCTCATTGTCATCCTTGACTTCACAGTCTCACTCATCTCATATAACCAATAAGTTGCCAGATAGTGTCATTTCTCTCTCCATAACTCTAGGATATCTTTCCTTCTCCCCATTCACATAGATGCCACCCTAGTTCAGTTCCTCATTACTTCTTGACTGCACTACTGTAATAGCCTTCTACTTGGTCTTCCTGCAGCCAGCTTCTTGGATTTCTAATTCATACTCTACATAGTTGATGGTCTTAAATCAATATTCTTTTTTTTTTTTTTTTTTTTTGCTTAGGCAATTGGGGTTAATTGACTTGCCCAGGGTCACATAGCTAGTAAGTATCAAGTGTCTGAGGTTGGGTTTGAACTCAGGTCCTCCAGACTCCCAGGCTAGAGGCTCTATCCACTGTGTCACCTAGCTGCCCCTTAAATCAATATTCTTTTTTTTTTTTTAAGTGACTTGCCCAGGGTCACACAGCTAGTGTCAAGGGTTTGGTCTGAGGCTGGATTTGAACTCAGGTCCTCCTGACTTCAGGGCCAGTGCTCTATCCACTGCGCCACCTAGCTGCCCCTTAATTCAGTATTCTTAAAGCACAGATCTAACCATGTCACTGCCCTGCTCCAAAGGCTCCAGTGGCTCCTTCTTCTCTCTAGGATAAAATACAAAGATCTATTTGGTTTTATGAAATCTATAATTAACCTAGCTCCAGTCTGCTTTGCTTGCCTTATTTCAGATTACTATCACACTCATATGCACAAACTCTATGTTCTAACCAAACTGGCCTATTTGCAGTTCCCCTTACATGACATTCCATAGCCTCTCTTGTAAGCCTTTATACATCCTGGGCCCTATGTCTAGAATTCTTTCCTCTTCACTCTTGCCTCTTGGAATACCTAGCTGCTTTCAAAATTCATCTCCCTCCTTTCCTGATTCACCCAGTTGTTAGTGTTCCTTCCTATTTCCCAAATTACTCTGTATCAACTCCATATACATCTGATATTTAATTTTCTATGTACATGTTGTTTTCCCCCAATAAAATGTCAGCTCCTTGAGGGCAAGGACTGTTTTGTTTTGTTTTTTGCTCTCTCTATCCCTAGCACTTCATGAAATGCCTACCATACATTGATATGGTTTCAAAATCCTTCTTTAATCCTTAATAGCTGGGTGTCCCTGGGCAGTTAGGTGGCAAAGTGGATACAGTGCCTGGCCTAGAGTCAGGAAGAACTGAATTCAAATCCATCCTTGACACTTACTAGCTGTCTGAGCCTCAGCAAATCACTTAATCCTGTTTTCCTCAGTTTCCTCATCTGTAAAATGAGCTAGAGGAGGAAACCCCAAACCATTTCAGAATCTTTGCCAAGAAAACTCCAAATAGGGTCACAAAGAGTCAAACGTGACTGAACAATGACAAAAGTTGTG